TGTGTGTGTGTGTGTGTGTGTGTGTGTGTGTGTGTGTGTGTGTGTGTGTGTGTGTGGTCTGTCGATAGCTCATCAGTTCATTAGATTTAAAATGATACATTTTCTCAATTGTGGCCCAAGCTAAATCTCACCTTCTGGATCATTAATCCCCCTCCTCCCAGTCTGCTTCTTTGTGCTCACAAAGCTCTGGTAATACTCCTCGAGTCAATAAGGAATTAAAGTAGATCTGCCCACATGGTAGCAGAAAAGACACCAGTAATGTTTTACTGTTGAGCTGCAGTCAGACGCATATGAAATGATTCAACTGGATTTCACCACACAAGATGCTAAAAGATTTGTTTCTAAATCCTCTGAGAGAGTGATGAATATTTTATAAGTCTAAACAAAAACAGGTCATTTTAATACTTGACTTAAACTGGATGAAATATTTTAGTTAATGTGGTACAAAGAAGCAAAGTTTTGCTGCAGACAGATAAAAAAGTTCTGACTTGACTACTGAATGTTATCTAAGTGCACGCCTACTGAAGGAACATGAAGAGATTGAAAATCTTGTAGCATTCTAGTCATTATTAAGACATTTAATTAAGATGATTAAATGCCACTTTAAGGTCATTTTTGAGAGCCCAGGGAATCACAAATGTGTGCAAAACATCTCGGAAGGCTGTTAAACTATTTAATCTAGTATGGAATGACTGCTGCCATGCAGTCCCACTAATATAAGAAAAAAAAAAAACGAAATCTTGTCTGGATCTGCAGGCTGCCTTATTAACATTTAGTCATTCCCATTATTGCATCTGTTCTATGGAAACAGAAGCAGAACAAAACAGTCCTTTGAAAAGTCTGTATGGAGCTCCATTAAAACGTGGATCTGGTTTGAGTCTTTTCAGTTTGTTTGATGAAAATTTCTTCAATTGGGCAAAAACAACAGGGCACCAGTTTTTGTTTTAATTCAAACTACAACAAATATATAATTAAATAGACATAATATAAGAAAAAWTAACCTTTCAAGATGGTAATTCTTGTGAATTTATTTTAAATGTAATATTAGCTCTAATGAGACTTCACATTGAAAGGTGGGATGTAGATCCTCATCTGAGGAGCTTTCTCAACAAGCATCTCTTTTCTAGTAATGAAACCTGCTTTTATTTGAACAAAACTGTATTATTTATGATCCTAAATTCAAACCACTAACTTATTCTGTCCTTGGTTCAGGCTGTACACTTCATTACGATGATTCACTGATGGTTTGTGGGTTTTATTTGTTCTGTAACAAAAAACTAACCCCTGAGGTTGATAACTTCCTGGGGCTGTCTTTAAAAAGCTTTAAAAAGTAAATTCATAGATTTTAATCAATTATTGAGTCCAAACGACTGCAAGCATCTCCACTCCTACAAAGTTTATCACAGTGTCCTGCATGCATCA